AAAAAAAATTTTATTGGGGTAAAAAATTCCAAGATTGCGGTCCTTATATGGTTAACTAGGCACCCCCCCCCCCCCCGCAACACCTTTCTTTATTTATGTAATTTTCCTGCAAACGGCTTTTAATGAGAGTGTGCATGAATGAAGTTCCTTTGCCTTATGCAAAAAGTAGAGGTGAAAAAATAGGGAGTACATGAAAACTAGGACCCTGAATAATTAGGGAGTATCAGCTTTCAGTCTCTGCCGCATTAGAATAACAAGAAAGAAAAGGGAACTCCCAAGGCGAAAATCAAAGAAACCTCTTTATTATTAATGTGGCACAAATCACTTAGTCAAACAAAAAGTGTTTCCAGAGAGACTTTGGCTTGTTAAAAGGGGATGGGGTGGTGCTTGGAAAATTCCACTTCTGAATGAAAATATATGATGAGATGACAGAGTGAAAGCAGCCTCAGAATCATTCAAGTATATTTTTATTCAATAAAAATTATTTGATCACTTTTTGTACAAAATATCAAATGTATAAAACTGTTCATTTGTAGTTGAACTTTAGCTCAGATGCTTTATTTGACAGGTGCAAAATGAAACTATAATTATTCAATTACTACAATCTGTGGAGGAGGCACTATTAAGGGCATCAACGAAATGTGCAACTCATTTTAAATTCACAGCAAAACCGGTTTTCGTTTGTCGTAAACATGTCAGTAAATTATCCGCTTGTAGAGGCGTCTGAGTATTTCTGAAAAGGTGCAAGAACCACGTCAGCGTTTTTCTGCTCGCTCTCGGCGCTGTAGAGGCTGTGTTCCTGAACGTAGCGGACGACGCTCTCGGGCAGCAGGTATCGGACGCTTCGCCCTCGACGAAGCGCCCGGCGCACGTGAGTCGCCGAGATGTCGTTGGTCACCCATTCATGGACGACGTGGATGTTCTTGCGATACTTCCACAAATCGTCCGACTGGTTGATGAATTTGTGCGGGTCGCTGCCGCTGCGGGTGACGCAAACCAGCCCGTACCGTCCCACGATCTCGGCGATGTCCTCCTGCTTCCACAGATTGGGGATTCCGAAGGATTCGAGGACGTCTGCCCCACACAGCAGCATCAGCTGAGGGCCGTCTGAGCACAGGGACAAGGGGCTCAGCTCTGAAGGAGCTCAGACGGGGTGTAACAACACTTGTTCAAAGATCTATTAGAAGACAACTTTGAAATAAAAATAAGATTCTGTAGAATCAAAGACTGAATTTTCCATAGTTCCCAGTCTGTTTCTGGACCATTTTTAAAAATAGTTCAGTAAGAATGAATGGCAGATCTACCATGATTGTTAAACAAATAAATGGATGGATAAACAAAACATGCAGATATTAAGACAGGAAATAAAGTTGGAAAAACAAAAACTTTTGTATACGGTTTGGTTTGGGGAAGGTATGAAAAGTCCTTTAATGCTTAAGTTTAGGACAAGTTTAACTAATGATAATGAAAATGATAAGCTCATGACACCATTTTTCACATGACCAGTTATTGTTTTGCTCATGTGTGACGCAGTTTTGCTTTAATTTCAAGTGCATCTGTAATTACCACCTTGTTGCCCAGAGGCAATTTTCACGCTGCTTCACTCTGACAACTAACTTTGTTGGTTGTGACTGGCTGTCGTCCAGATCATGAGACAGAGCGCCCACACCCTACAAGAACTGCATTCCTGCACATCAGCAGAACGCACCAAACTGTAAATAAGCAAAAGCGCCAAAAACACAACGTCTATTTACTCACACAACCTTACAAATATTCATAGCTCACCTCTTTTCCTGTGATGAACTGAACTCGCTATATAATTCTCCTCTATACGTCTCTTCTTTGTATACTTGACGGTGTCCACGTCGTCCCTGTTATGTTCTCTAGCGAGCAGCTCTTCATAGTGATGCCTGTACGAATAAAGATAAAACGGTTATATAGTCAAAAGCAGCTGTTCAAATCCCTCAATCCATATGTGTCTTAAGATAAATATCTGCATCTGTTATTATTCTATGAAAACATCTTGCAGGTTACAGGCTGGTCTTTCTGATCTATGAGCCAAAAATTATTCTATGAGCAAAAATATTCCCCAGTTGCAATTTCATGAATGCCAAATATCTTGTTCAGCATTGAAGCTAAAATTGAAGGAAATGTTTAATGATTGAATGAAAGAAGCCAAGAGGCCCGGCATTTAGCTGCTAACCTACTTTATATTTACCAAAGTAGAGAGTCAGAATTTGTGTGAAGTAAAAAAGACAAAAGGATCAGTTAACCATTAATGTGTTTAGAGTGTGTTGTAGCTGCCGTCAAACTCTGCAAACCTAATGAAGTAATGTAAATGTGATAACCGGGTGATCGTGTCTCACTGCTCCAAATGGTAACGAGAACGACTACTTCAGCTTCAAAATGTGTTAATAAAAATATCCAAAAATACAGGAAATTAATTATCCAGAAATCTAGAAAATAATATATTAAAATATTCTGTCTTATCTACTTTGTTCATGTTTCAAAATAATGAACAAGAAGTTTTACTGTAGCAGCTCTGCTCACATATCACACGGACCTAATATTGCCATCTAGTGGACGAAGCACGTAATAATCACATCACCCTTTCTTTAATGCACATATGAAATTAAAGTAACATGTGACACTGTTTACATGAAACATAACTTCCAACTCAACTAATTCTGAGTCTGCTTAAAGGTATCAATACATTTTGTTACAATTTATTTTTATTTTTTTTGCACTTATAAATTCAATCTATCACATTTTCCACTTCCTCATAACCTTTATTTTTAAATGATCTTTTTTTTTTGCAAGCAACAAAGCTGACTTTTGAAACTGTGTGATAAATCCCATTTCATAGAGTCTGAAACAGGAAGTGTTCAACTGTTGCGTAAAGAAATAATAAAAAGGTCTAAAGTCTGAATAACTCAGATACAATAAAAAGGACATTAAAACTTTGGAAAACTTTACCAAGGTTTCAAATCAAGCCATAGTCGCCTGCATCACTCCATCTAATGTGAATATGCTTGAAGGCTAGCTGTCATCACAGATAGATGGTAAATAGCTAAAACAGAGTCAGAGAATGAAAAAAAAAATCCAAGAGAAAAATGTTTTGTGCACTTTAAACTTACCGGATAACTTTAGACGTCTCCACCCAGTCTGACTGCTGGCTTTCCCAGGAGTCCACTGTGATCCACTCTGAGCTTTCTGTGGCCAGTCTGGCCATCTCCACCCGGTGGCTGGCCTCAATCAAACCCTTCTTCTTATAGGCATCGCCCACCGGGGAGATGATTCCTTTTATCACACTGTACTGACCTTAAAAACACAAAGGAGATGCAGTTTTGGTGTTTAAATCACAGTAGGAGTGTGATTTGAGATGATTAAAAAATGGAGCAATAATGAGTTATGTAGAAATATTCCAAAATTGCAGGTTAGCCTCAAATAGCCCAGGTGTCTTTTGATCCACTTTGCACCAAGTTTAAAAGTGCATTATGTATTACTGTGCAAAATGAAATAACACAAATGATCATTTGTGCCGTTTCCAGCTCTTCAAAACCACTTTTTAAAGTTTAAAATTAACACTTTAGTACTGCTTAAGGATTTCAGTGCTTGAAGGAGGCCTTAAGTTCTAGACAGCATTAAATGCATTTTTACGATACTTTAAGCACAACCTTTCTGTAAGACATGTAAAAAGAAAGTAGCTCTCACTTTAAATTCTACAATTGTGTGCATTTTCTACATATTTAACATTACTAGGGTGTACTTTTAAAAAAAAAAAAGCCCAACTAAGAACCTATAAAGAAATAAGGAAAATCATAATGTTCTAGAGTTATTTTCTATTATTTGTTGATCTTAGCTACAGTGTTCTACATTCCACTTAGTTAAAGATGATGCTGCAGATACTTATCAGGCAGAAGACCGTAGAAGCACATCACAAAGTTCTCCCTTTCTTCACGGGCTCCAAGTTCATTTTAAGATTCATTTTTGATTAGGCTTACAAAGTTTCACAGGGAAGTAGACAGAAAACTCTTAACACTAAAACCAAAGGATGTAATCTTAAATGGCTTCAACCTGTGTCTTCCAGGTGATCTCTGGCCAGCTCAAACATCCTCAGGTGCATGTTAGTGATGGGGTTGAAGGAGCCACAGGCCAGCAGAACCACTTTGGATGTAGTGGGATTCTCCATTACTCATACTGGTGCAGGATTTGCCCTGCAACAAACACAGCAGCTGACATTACTAAAATGCGATTTAACGTAGTCCCTTTGGTTTAAAGGGACTACGTTAACGTAGGCACAAACAAAAAATTAACAAACCGAGATAGAATACTTAAGGTTTATTATGCTGAGAGCATAAATAGCAGTGCTATAACTTGAGCTAACATGTGTTAGTCTCGTTAAAGTTGAATTTTCCATTGTAATCTGGATTGTTAGCTCTATAAATTAGCAACATGGAGGTAACCCAAATTATTTTTAAGAAGACAAACGAAAAATAACAGTCCGTGTTCAAAAGGAATAGTACGTTTTCGTACCTATAATAAAATAATGCAGTTTCTGTTTCGCTCTTCTATGGGTGTCAGCTGTTTTCTGTACGTAGCTGACGTCGAGGGCTACGTAAGGATACACAAATCTGATTGGACAGAATTTACGAGAGCCGCACCCACGTTCTGAAGTTACGTTCATGGTCACAAATCCTCAAGACTTATGCGACTCGAGACAAACAGTAAACACTCTTTTTACTAAAATAGTAATTTTTTTTATCTGGGTTTTTATGCGGTGGCTCTGTTCTCTATTCTATTGTTTGTCCCATTAGCCTGAGGCAAACGTCCGTCGTTCCTACGGCGTGTTTATAACTGGTTATTACAAAGACAATTCACGGTGAGATGCTGTGCTTTAGCATGCTAGCTTGCTGTCAGTATCAATGTTTATCTGAGCCTTCGGGTTTATCGTGAAAAATAATCAGTAATAGTGACCAAATACAGTAAATACAGTGAATACAACCTTCACCGGGCATCCACTTTAGTCTGTTTGGGACTTACTGATTAATGTCATTCTGATCTGTTGCTTGTTAATTTGCTTCCTTAAATCTGACACTCCAGAGTTTGGAAACAGGATTTTAACATAATGGCATCACGGGGCAAGTCCGAAACCAGCAAACTGAAGCAGAACATGGAGGAACAGCTTGACAGACTGATGCAGCAGCTTCAGGACCTGGAGGAATGCAGGTGGACTATAAGCCAATCAATACACTCATTTACTTTTACTTTTCTCTTCTTTAAGGTCCTTATCATTTCTTTTTTTCCCCCTTTTTTTCCTTTTCTAGAGAGGACTTGGACGAGGAGGAATATGAGGAGACAAAGAAAGAGACACTGGAACAGCTGGAGGAATTCAATGAGTCCCTGAAGAAGATAATGACAGGAGACATGACACTGGTGGATGAACTTGGTGGGATGCAGCTGGTAGGGACATTTATTAATAAGCACTCGTTACTTTGTGGAAGTAATACTCCCACTCCGTGACAAAAATAATTTATCTCATCTCATGGGCATTTATGCGACATTTAAACCCTCTCAAAGTAGAATCTGTCTGAGAAGGCCTTACTGTCGTTTAATTCATATCTTAAGACCACACATTGTGTTGTAAAGGTTAACATGAAGGCTTTTCTCCTAAAGTTTCAAACAGGAAACCCACAGTGAATATTTTTTACTGTCATTAAAGATCTTCTATACGTTTGTCTAGAATTTGGCCTTCACGTGTATGCTGTAAAATCTGTGACGCTGTTGCATAAAAGCTCAATTTACCCTTGGAAAAAGTTTAAACTTGGCGGTGTGACAGTGCTTTCTAAAGCGCTAAAAATAAGTGTTAATTTTAATTTGATGAAAACAATAACCTAAACCGTGCAGTTCTGAACTGAGGAAATCAATATTCCGACTTACTTGTTCCCCAATTATGAGAAGCTGCAGTATCTGACAATAGTGACTCAGATGTTGCATAATTCGCTTTTAGCTACCTAGTTGTTAGCACATAAAATTCTGAGATTGTCTCATAAAAATGAAAATGTATGTCTAAATCTGTCCCACTATATCATTGTGACTGTCTTTATCTCCATCAGGCAATCCAAGCTGCCATCAGCCAAGCATTCAAAACCCCCGAGGTGATCAGACTTTTCGCAAAGAAGCAGCCAGGACAGCTGAGGACCCGACTCGCCGAGGTTTGAGTTACGCTTTCAAACATTGCGCCAATCAGTCACAGAAATGGTCAGAATGTTTTGTCAGTCACATTTAGCATATTCAAGGGTTGACTGCAGCATTTTCAGAATTTGGTCTTGTTCCGTTTTGTCAAATTGTTTAAACTTCCTAAACATTTCTTTTGCTGCTCCGTTCTCTCCTGGTTTTACCAATGAATGCACCTCTCACCGCTTTGTGTCCTCCAGTGCTGAAGAGCTGATAGACTCCATTGCTCCACCGAACATCAGACAACCAAAGCTCAGATCAGATCCCTGATTACACGGCCAAACCTGTGTCGTTACATTGACGTTGGCGTCAAAAAGGCTGTAAAAGCCCTAAATTCGGTTTTGAACGCAGTCTCTCAAAACCCGCTTGCTCTTTCCTATCGTCGTGAAACCATTCCTCTGTCAGTCTTCACGGAGCTTTGTTAGAATGATTTGTGCCGTTAAATCTTTTGACCGATGAGCGTTTGGCTCACGTCGCTCACTGCATTGTGGTTTTCTTTTCCATGGCTCTGCCTGAAAATTGTGCGGCCTGTGTGTGACATTCCGGGCAGATGGACCGAGACGTGATGGTGGGGAAAATGTCTCGGGACGTGCACACGCAGCAGAAAATGGAAATCCTCACAGCCCTGAGGAAGCTGGGAGAGAAGGTGACGAACACCGCACTGCGCAGTGTGATTCGGTGGCTTCTGCTAATGTTTCCCAATGCAGTTTATTTTAGTCATGTGGCAGCCATGATGTTGACAGACTGATCTTTTTTTTAAAGAGTTGTGACATTGTAGATGTATTCCCCCCCCCCTGCCCCCCCAACAGCTCACTCCAGAGGATGACACATTCCTGGCTGAAAACGCGACGGCGACTCTGAGTCAGTTTGAAAAAGTCACTGCAAACCTGGGTGAGCAGAAACACTTTATCAACTCTTTCGGTTTGTCTGATTACCAATGCTCATCTTGTATTTCTTTCCCTTTTTTTTTTTCAGGGTCGGAAGACAAAATTATGGCCTTAGCCAGTTCTGGGGTGAAAACCCAAGCATAGACAGTTTACAAAATTATAGTTAAAAGTCATTGTTGCTCTTATTATTAAAAAAAGAAAGGAAAAAAAAAAGAAGTGTGCCAATTAATCAAGTTTTGCATAAAAATCTGTGCAGTTTTTAGTGTTTCTAGAGATGCAAACATTTTTAATAGTATTGTTTTATACTTCTTAACTTTTGTAAATTTCAGTTATTTGTCCAAGTCTGTAAAATTGTAATATAGTCGGTACGAGTACATGCAGATGAATGTAGAGGTGCTGTGATTTGTAGTGTTGGTTTTACTGTGTGCTGTTTTACAACCTGAGAGTTCTTAGACTCTTAAGGTTTTAATTAAACTGAAGTTGTTTGGATAAAGCAGAGACACTAGATGATCCTGAGCCTTTGTGAAGCCGCCTCAAGACTTGAACATCATCATTCAAGCTAGAATGAAAATCATTACTTGTGGTCTTTTAATGATTATTTTATTATTTATTATTATTATTATTATTATTATTATTTTTAACCGTGGTTAAGCACAAGAATTGAGATCACCAGTTTGACTTTGTTGTGACAAGAAGAACATTTAGAGGAATCAAGGTGAGGCAAGTGCTGAGCACGGTGTTGGTAGTATCATGCTGGGGTCTAGATATTTGCCCAAAGTGGATGGAACAGTGAATAAGGAGGATGACTACTATTAAATTTACTTGAAATCAGCAGGGGGGTGGTTGAAACTCGGAAACAGCTTGTTCAAACAACAGAATGTTCCTAAAAACAAATCCAAACTGGATGTGTTTGGATCGCTTTTCAAAGCTTTTTGAAATGTGACGCCAAGAAACCAGGCAAGTTAAACAAACGACCAATTCTACCAAGAAGATGAATGAAATATAGAGTTTCGCCAAAAGTCTTTAACAGATGGAAAAAGCACGGGGATGAGATATTAGTTGCTAATGAGCATTTATCTAAAAACACTTGGGGTTGTATACATATATTTCAGCCATTACTGGTATGCACAGGTTTGACTTTGTATTACTGAAAAGCAACAATAACAAACTTACACATCTAATTCTTGTTTAAAAAATAAAAAAATCACAGAGCTTGTATTGTACAATCGTCCCACGCTGGACAGATTGGCATAAATTAATCTCCAAAAGGCCCAAGCTAAAAGATTGGTATGTAAACTTCTGACCTGGACTGTTGTTTGCTGTAAGAAGCATAAAGTGACTTCTCACTGTGCAGAGCCGCTCCTCTACAGAACCAGTAAAAATGCTCTTTATATCAATCGTGTGTGAATTATTGCGCATTTCAGATATTTTAGTGACTAAACTGAGCAAAAGTCACATTTCAGTGCTGGTAGAACAGAATCAGTAAGTTACAGCAGGACAAAAAAAAAAGTTTGTTGAAAAGATGTTTGAAAAGTAGTTTCACACACAAGCATTATGATGGAATCAATACATTAAACATCGGTTTTTAAATGTTAGCTGTAGTTACTTCTTGTATCCAGCGGCTGTGGGAAGATACGCATCATGCGGTAAAACAGGTTCAATGGGTTTATTTTAGTCCTCCTCCTACTGTCTATAACTATGACTGTTAGGTTAATTATCTCTAAATTGACCTTATTTATTAGAGTGTGTGTGTGGATGTATGCCCTGTGATGGTTTGGCTTCCTGGATTTTAGGCATGCTCCATAAATCTTCAGTAATGTTCATGTTGGCAGTGTTTAAATTTTATTAACCTGTGATCTTAAAAAAAAAAAAAAAAAAAAAAGTTGCACAATTTTTACTCAACACCAGGGGGCACTATTGCTCCAGACGTTCTGCATGCAGGGTGTGTTATTCCACCCCAGAAATGCATGTTAAACAGCGGCACAGTTACTGTAAAAAAAGAACAAAAAACAAAACAAGAACAGGAAGTGTTTACATCCCATCAGTTCATCCTTTATTTTGTGTAAGAGCGAGCGTCGACTTGGCTACAACCCGCCTCCAACAAGCAACAAAGGAAGCATCCAACATTTTTATGCAGACATCACAACCGTTTGTCCATTTGAGCAAGATTTGAAAGGAAACGGCAAATAAAATCAAATAAAATAAAAATAAACAATCTGGTCTGGAGGGTGACGGATGTGTGAAACAAGACAATCTCGAGAATCAGTAGTGCGTCACAGACTCCTTTCTCCGTCTCAACCCCACACGGGACATTCACAAACGTGTGGCTCATGCAAAGTGAATTCCTAGTAGCGGCGCTACGGCCTGGCTGCCGTTTTATGGCGAGAGGTGACTCAGGTTAAGGGGGTTGGAGTCATGGCGGAGGCTTGTGAGAGAAGCATTACTGACTTTTTGAACTGGACTTTGAACTGTCTGACAACGATGAAGATGCGAGTTTTGGAGATGGCAGGCCTTACTGCGACTGCGTAAAATTCATACTGCCCTCAGAATCACTCCTCAACAACTCTGGCGATGGGACACGGTTCAAAAAAAAAAGAAAAGAAAAATAAACTCACCTTCCACTGTACACAGACAGCAAAATTTATTAGTACGCCCACATTATGCTGCCAAAGCGATTTCTTCATGTACTGTACATCATTTAAAGGTGGATTCAGTACAATATCTATAGAAGATACAATATGGATCTACTTTCTCTACACATCAACAAGGACACATGACATCTAATGTACAATGTTTGTAGTTTCAATAAAACTAGCGGTGGACTACAGTCACTACAAGCTGGAAAAAAAACATCTCAGCTTTGTAAGAAATCTAGCATCAAACAATAATAATTAAAAAAAAGCCACAAATAAAAGAGCTCGGATAAATGTTTGTTGTTTTTTTTTTTGTTTGTTTTTTTCTGTTAGACCTGCTAATTTTGCAACGATTGGCAAAAAGGCACTCCCCACCTCAGCTGGCTCAGACCTGGCCCCGTGCTTTACGTGTCGTCGTGGAAGGGAGACTGGTCGTTAAGCAATTAACTGGAGATTAGAAAAAAATTAAAATCAACTCTTTAAAAGTTCTGTCCCCATAAAGAAAATCAGATTTGGCCTCTGAAAACAGACTCATGCAAAAAAAGAAAAAAGAAAAATAACTAAAATCCAGCCACTAATGCTTTTTGTAAACGCCGCTTCTGCGCCATGCAATGCCCCAAATCTGGTAGTAATTAACGCAGCTTTTAGTACCCTCACAACTAGAATAAAGCGCAAAGGATCGTCATCTTCTGGTTTTGTAAGACAAATATATTTATATATTTATATATATATGTACACAACATTGACGGACAACAGTGTCTGAGAGGAGACAGGCTGGTCACATTTTCCCAATCGATCGTACGAGCTTCAACACTAAACTCCAGCAGGAAAATTAAGTTTACCAAATGTAAACAAATGTGTAGGAACAACTCTCCCAGCGTGGTTCCATGAACAACAAAGTCTAGTGGTCTGCTGTGAGAAAAAAAAGAAAAAAAAAGCTATTTTTAAAGTGTTTTCCTGCTGAAATAGAGCAAAATCCGTGACGCAGGTTGGAGCAGGAGAACAGGTTGAAAATGCACCAAATAAACGTCTCAATCATCTTAGGATTAAACAGCCGTGGAGCAAAGAATCATTTTTCTCTCTGAAAAATGATTCTTTTTCAGAGAGAAAAAGAATCATTGGATTGAAAAACAATCCAACCGCCACCACTGAACCTCGGTGGAGGTGCGGAGCGAACCTCTGCTGGTCCAAACTTCGGGACCTACTTTTCAAAATCTCGCAGCCTTGCTTTCCAAAAATACCAAATGTTTGTGAAATAAGCGCAGCTGATCTGAAAAGTAAAATCAAAAAGATTCCTGCTGTACAACGACGAGTTCCACCGGGAACGAAATGAGGTGAACGCCAGGAGTCGAGCATTGCCACCTGTGCAAGCGGAGCCAAGCGTGACGCATCGATGGGCCAAAGACGCCACGATTTAATAAATAAGTCATTTATTCAATATTTATGCGTCTTAATCATGATATAGGAAGTGATTTAGCTGTCATTATTTAAATATCACAATGTTATATGGAGCATAATTAAATGTGGAGGTGGTTGATTAGCATCTGGATTCACAATGTTAAAAATATGAAGTATTTTCAGTGTTTATTGAAATATTTCAAAGTCCTGCGGTGGCAATTGGTTTTAAGGCTATAGAACAAAAAACAAACACAAATGCTTTATGTATCAGTTGTGATACAAAATAGCTTTGAGTTGGATGCGTACAAGCATCTGATGAGGAGTTAAATTTTTAAAAATATAAAAAAAATTGTTAGGCTGAAACTGCAGTACAGGCCAACCAATCAGATGTTAGGGTGTCTTTTACAACAGCAAGTTATTTCATGACAGCAGAAAATCTGAAACATTTAAATGAAATGATAAAATTCTTGTTTCATTTTAATATGTAATGAAATTTAAAATCAATAATTTACACATTTAATTCTGTAATCAGTAATTTATTGACATTCAATCCAAATTTTTGCTTACTAAGTCAGTACTGCGTAAAAAGATTGGAGAAATCACTTAAATGACTTATTTTTCAGATTGCGGCGCTTCAGGTCCTCGACAGTAAACGGAGCGAAAACCTGTCGAATCGTCCTTGCTCACGAGAAAAGCACTGGAACCGATTTCACTTCTCGCGGAAAACGACCGAAAGAAAATGTCAAAAAAAAAAGAAAAGAAAAGAAAAACAGACACCAATTTGTCATGGAAACCTCCGCGTAACAGTCCTGGGTTTCTCATCACGAGGCAGACTTTTGGGGAAAGCGCGATGGAACAGCTTCAGCGGAAATTCAGCAACATGCTACGGCCTGCAGTGACACAAATATTCTACATTAAGTACGGCGTTTTTTTTTTTTTTTTTTTTTTTTTTTTTTTTTTTTTTTTTAAAGATATCGAGCCCTGCTGAGCGGGCTTTCACTAAACACATTGACTAAATTACATTGTTGTTTTCATATTTACAAAAAAATCTTTAAAAAGCAATTCATTTCTCTACACATAAGACTTCCCAAGTTTTCCTCATGCACTAAAACAAGAAAAATAAAATAAAAAAGAGAGAGAGAGATTGCAGGCTACTTCGAAAAAATTGCTTCCCTGGGGCCTAAAAAAAAAAAAAAAAACGAAGTCATGGCAAGCGACCCTAAAAGCGTTAAGCCAAAGGATATACGTCGGGAAATCTAAACGAATCTCTGCGCGAAAGCCTGACTGAGAACAGAAAGTGCAGGGCTGACTGCCTCGCACACTCCAGAAGAAATGTAGGCCAAGTTTTCCAGGGAATTAAAAAGTATAATAAATAAAAAACAAAGTAAAAATCAGCAATCCGGTGATGACTACACTACACTGAGTACCACCACGAAGATAACAACAGGAAAGCCTTGACCATATACGCTGAAGGACTCTTCTATACTTTATTTATTCTTTTGTCAACGTTTTTTTTGTTTATATATATATATATATATATATATATATATATATATATATATATATATATATATCAGGGCTCCTCCACATAAAACACCGCGGAGGGGTGTGTAAAGCGGTGTGTGTGGCTTTGTTTT